TATCATGCATGCAACTTCTATGGCTTCTTGCTGTACATGTATGTGCTTGTATTAATTAGTATCAAGCTACATGTATGACATAAAAGTAAACAACAGGCCTACATGTCCTGGTAAAAGTAACATACATGTACACATTGCATTTCATTCAGTTACGTGTAATAACCGAGTTTGAAAAACAAAAATGCAGGGCTGCACAGCTACCGTCCATACTTTCACATACTCTGGTAATGTAAGTGTACAAATAAAGAATATTGTACCGATAGATCAACAAACTAAACAAATGACAGATACTCCATGGACATGTATACAGATAACCCTTATTACTTACAGACCCATCTACTGTCACCAAGCAAACATGGACAGGCAGGGATTAATCATTGCATATGCTCAGGCTAAGATTCATTTTTTTTCTCCTTACATTTTTTAATGAGATGTGCAAGTCGTGTTTGAAATCACGGTCTCATGATGATATGGCCTAATGGAAAAAGTGAGGTGGAGTGCAGTGCCATTGGCAAAGCAGACCTGTGGAGCCTGAATGTTGCCGCTAGCGCTGAACGGACGTGCATTTCTCAGGTCATAAAATTCACTGGAGAGTCTGCTGTTGATGGCAATGAACAAAAAACTGCTGTCTCAACTTCACGACAATTTGGAGGGAATAAAAGTAAACTTTTACGATCGATTTTCTTTTCATTAAATGTCAGTCTCATCGTACACAAATGAATGACCATCAACAAGTTGGAATGTTGCAGGGCGATGACGCAGTGCTCTATATGTACCTTTACTCCCGTGCCCTCTTGTGGTTTAGGCAATGCCATGAAAATTTGCCTTTGTACAGGTAACACACTAAGTAGACCAAAATTATGACTGGCACAGTTTGTAAAACCACACACTTTAACCATGTATTTACTGGTAGAACTATTCGAACTCTTTCCTTTACATGAACTTTAAATGATAACAAAGTGTTGAGTAATCTGTTAACATGGTACAATTGGAGAAGTTTATTTATTGGTAATGCTTTAAAATATGGAAAATGGTAATACTGTTACTGACCTCATTATCATTTGCATTTCTGTAACAGTAAGTTTGGTTATGAACAGTATAAGAAATAGATACATTTTGTTTCTAATTTTTTGACAAAAAATTATTTTTCTTTATGAACAACAAATAATAACAGGACCAGCCTGACCAATTTCAACTTTTAACTTTAAGTGGAAGTGACCCACTGTCAAAAAACCCATCCTGTCATGTACATACAACACAAACCCAGAAACGGAGGCCAGCCACATTAGCATTGTTTCCCAAACGGTTATACATTTCTGTGAGTATATCAACACCAACAAAAACTTTTTGAGGTTTGAATGAAACAGAAACATGCTTACATACATGTACCCGGTGCCTGTACTCTATGTTCCAGTGACGTTTCAAGATGTAGGCCTACACGTACTTTGTGTCTGGGAGATGTTAATAGTTTTAATTACAGGTTTTTGCCCTTACACCAACATACAAGTACAAGGTATGTATTCAAAAACACTCTGTGTTTATCCGAAAGCTTATGAAAAATTCACAAACTTACTCCGGTGGGACTCAAACCTGAGACCTCCTGAGTATGCAGTGTTCATGAGTAAGGACAAAGACCTGTAATTAAAAAATTCCTGTGAAGTTGTTAGTCCCTTTTTGAGGTCAAAAAACTGGCAGATCAAAATTTGTCCATTAGTTTCGACATTAAAATGGACATTGTTTTTAATTCAAAAAAGAAACTCCTCTGTGGTCTCAGTCCGGCCACAACCTTCACACTGATACCATTCACATGAAGAACAGGTCTAAGAGTGCTCAAGACATGGCAAAAATGTACAACCACCAGGGGGACACTGCTAACACACTGGCCACTTTACTTTGTTTTATGCCACACATCATGTCAAAGTGAAATCCCATTAGCACAGGGTAGCCAAAATTTACAGTGTACCCACTATTAAGTGATTGAGGTCAAAGTGAAAACTTTTTGTTGAACAATTTCGACTCAAACTCAGAAACAAATAATAAACAACAAAGACGAGATTATACATTATGAATGGAATAGACAATACCTCCAACTAACTATAAAAAACTCAGTTGAAAATTTCCTATCTGTGCATCTCTTTAAAGCAGACATTCCTTTCTAAAAAGGGCAGTTTTGTGCATTCACTAAGATGTTTTGAACAAGTTTTATATCAGAAAAAAACATATAATCACACCACACATTGTTCATACGAAAAGCCTGATCAACCAACACACAAGCTACAACAAACAAATCTAGCCTCTTCTGATGTACAAAAGAACCTGCTTAACAAAGCACCACAGCAGTTGTCTGTGCATGACATTTCCTGTGCCATAAATAAACGGTGTAGTACATGTTTTCAACATTTCAAAAGCTGATTGGGACTGGGAGGATTCATACAATGTACATCCACACGGCAGTGTATTATGCACTTGATAATGCATTTGTAACAGTCCTGACAGCATTAGTGCACATCACATTCAAACTGTAAAAAAACTTCTGGTGCTGGAACACCAGAGAAGTAGATGTACGGTACACTGGATCAAAAACTACATAGCATGCATTTACTCTGCATTGGCATGTATCGTAAAACCTAATGAAAAGATTGAAAGTATAATTGCATGTATAACATGTAGGACCTGTAAAAGTAATGGGTACTCATTCCACTTCATTTTAATTAGGCATATGTACATGCACATGTATGTGTATGCATATTCTGTAAAGGGTACATGTACATTTAACAAAACACTCATTACTCGTAAGTTGGTATGTCTTCCGAAGGTGAAGCACACATGTATTGCAGGTGTACCCTCAGACAGCATGTACATGTACTGAACATGTTTTGTACCATGTAGACTCACTGTACACAGTGACTGTGCTGGAACATGCACTGGTACAATATGAATACCTGTAGATCACATACATTTACATGCAAATTCCTGAATAGTGGTCCATTGATTTCCTATATTGCTATCAATACCCATGAGGGGACAGGTGATTCCACTGTCATTCACAGCTTCACCTGGTACTGGGAACTGTACATGTACCAGTACTGTTACAGCCAGATATTTTCTTTCTTTCTTTTCACAAGTAAAATTTTTCTGACCCCTTCCCTCCTTTTCATTGGTATCACCAGAGGGGGGGGGCAAATTACATTCAGACAAGGACAACTGCAGCAGAAGATGACCACAAGACAAACACACACAGGACCCAAATCCCACCCCAGCATGCCCAACTTTGCCTGTCCACCTCTGACCTGTTGACAGAGTTGCCATACAAACCAAGGCTGCCCTGAGCTACCATGTCCAATTTTCCGAGTGGTCCCCTAAGTGAAAACTTCCTAGTTGAGCCCATGCACTCAAGCGTTCAGTCTTCCCATTCATCACACAGCTAATATGTACTGGTACAACACACACATAGCTAGCTACATGTACAGTACATGTACAGTACATCCAGATGGACTGTGCACACAGCCATCATGCCCTCTGGCACAACCAATCTGATCCGTGTTATTGTCCCACTGTTGTTCCTGTAAGGATGTATAATGTGAGTGGAAAGAAGCCAACATGAATGGCTTTTCCCCATAATAGCAGCGATAAAATACAGATGCCCAACTAATGTAAAAACCAAGCATTTGTAGTTCATTCGCATTATCGGTAAAGGATACCAGTGGCATGTACCGGTATGTACATGTACACAGATGTAGTATGTAGCGGTATAGCAATGACCTGCATTAACGGGTAGCACAGCAACTTAGTAACCTACTTAAGTAAAACACGGATATGTGTATGTAGTACCTGGATACCTGTGAAATTTCACCCACAAATTTACAGAAAAAGTAAACATGAGAAATGGATTCAAAATTGTCATTTCTGCCTTACCCAGATTCATCAACATCTCAGTGCAAACTTGAGATCTGTTTCAGCATTTCATAGCCTGGCTTTTACTCGTACATGTAGTTTAAAATTCCCCCACAAAATCCTTTCAAATGCTTTCCTTTTATTTGTCTCAAGGGTTATGCTACATGTACTTAGTGATCTGTAGAGACGGTTACAAGTACCCAGTCCCATATTTGAAGCGTGAGTTGACATCAGAAAGGTACAAGTAGGCCTATGGTACTCAGGTACACGTACCTGGTTCTGATGCACCTGTAGCTAATCATCCATACATCTAATCACAGCTTGGCATGATTTTTATTACAACTGTGGTTAGGGTTCAATGTTTCTAAACAAAATTGATTTAAATCTCATCAATAAGGACAGTGCGCAGTACTTCTGGAAGAAAGTCTAGACAAAATTTCGAGTGTGACGAATAAGAAACTACCTAATTCACAGACAGAAGTTGTTTACATTCTATAGGGGTACAAGTACATGTAGATGTACAAGCATGTTTATACCACAGGTCTGTCTCCAAAGAATACGAGTGAAATGTAATAGATCTCAACTAGATATTTTAGGCACCCTCTGCCTCAATGACTGCTTTGAAGTTCAAATCCTGCCTGTTGTGAATGTTTTGAATCGCCTTTTCAGTATTCGGTCAAAATACATCAATTGACAAGAGAGGAAGTTTCTAAGGATTTGTAGCATGCGCACTTACGGATTTTAAAAAAAAAAGCCTTCCCACAAAGCGAAATCCCCCACTGTCGACACAATGGTAGGTTCAGTGGGGATTCCTAGACAATCTTCCACCTGCTCAAGGGTGCAAAACAATGTTTCATTTTTCCCGATGCTCAAGTAAAAGGATGAGAAATTCAGCACATATGCACCAATATTTTGTTTCTAGCAACACTTCAATCTAGTCTGTAGGCCTCCTCCATGTATAACTATGAACTACAAGTGTGCAAAGGACAGACTACCATGTACCCAGTATGTGTACCTCACCCCATCTTATCATGAACACCTCCAAATATTTTTTTCTCGACAATTCCGTTGACAAAGATTTGACAAATTGAAAATATGGTACATACCATCAAGCCACTCATCTTGAAGCTGATCCAGATCTTGAAACAGTTCTGAAGGATTAAAACAGATGACAGGAAAAGGGTAAAGTAATGAACAGAAATTATTCATCAAATTTGCATTTTTACTAACATAAAATATAAACATTCATCACATACTACTGCCAATTGAAGTTAAGAGTATAGGTTCATAATTAACAAGGCTGAGTGTACATGAAATGCAAGTTCTCTAGACTCTGCTTTCAAAATCTGTCGAAACATTCTTGAAGTTCATGCAGTAGACCACTGGGGCCAATTTCATAGAGCTGGTTAAGTACAAAATTTGCTTAAGCATGAAAAATACCTTGCTTGACAAATCAGGTCACCAGCCAAAACTCAATGTGATGTATATTGTTTTTGAATGGTATTCACCAGTCTTTTGGTTAGCATGACAATCACATTAGATTTTGAGCTGGTAACCCTTGTTTTGTAAGCAAGGTTTCTTGTGCTTAAGCAAAATTTTGCACTTAAGCAGCTCTATGAAATTGGCCTCATTGCAAGCAGGGCTGCTTTAGTGCTGTATTCATTGCCCTTGCTTGTACATGTATGTGAAGTGTGCTAGATCTCACAGTGCACCTTTTTAAGATTACATGTACATGTAGGTTTGTACATCAATGCCTTGTTTTTCCAGACAAAAATGTTACTTTTGGCTTAAATGCCATTTTACCATTAATCAGTATACATGTAGGTCTGTTTTCAATCTTTTGCAGCACAACTCTGCAAATCCACAACACCTCCCAGACAACCATGGGGCAAACCAGAGACAAGAATGGACCAATTTGCCTGCACATTGGTGCACTTACTGAGTTTAAGCTGCCTGCAAGGAGGGTGTGACACAATGAATGAATAGCTACCCTGCTAAAAGATCCAACAAACTCAAACAATCAATTGCTGTAGGAACTTGCGGGATGTTCTGCAGAACATAAAACGTAAGGGGTTTGGGCTATGTATCACAAAGTTAAAAGTGCCTGCATGCCAGCTCAGGATTGAAACCGCCATCTTGAAAACGACATTCTAATCGTAGAAAGGTACTATGCTCTGTCCCCCATTCGAATGATATTCGATGACAAAACCCTGTTGCTTTGCTACATGCATTTCTCATAATCTGGCAGTCCGTTTAGACATGGCCAACTCTCTCAAGGTATTAAGTCACGGCTCCACAATTTTGCTGTCCATTTGTCTTGTCCCTAAGAAAAACATAAGGCTTCCTCCTTGCACTTTACGCTGGCCATTACGGATCAATGCATCGACCCTAAAACTAAACACATCCAGCTTCTTCCCCCCCCCACTCCACTCCAGTCTTGCTGAATTCCAAATCTAATAATGACGAACAGGACCCCTTAACGCAACCCTAGTCTCTTCTGCCCTGTCCAGCCACGTAAATTATCGGTGGATGTTATTTCAGAAAACAAAGCTGACCAACTAGCGAACTACAAACCATGTGGGAAAAAAAAGCTGGCAAAAAGCAAGGAAAAAAAAGACTGTGTAAAAAAAGCTGAACGCTTCACTGCAGCAGGCACTATTACACTAGCCTGAGGCGAGAAGCTTATGCATTTTAACACACAGGTGCAATAACATATTATTATACACCAAGCTTGGCACCTGGCCAGTGAGAATGGACTTAATGCACCGTCATCCATCCCATCCATCACCAAATCTTACCAATTTTGGGATCGTTTTTGTGATCGAGTATCTACTCTCCTTGTTGAGGAGATATATATGCAACATAAGAAAAAAAAAGCAAGATGTGTACGCACATGCACGTATCTGCTTGAAATCCCTCAGAGAACTGGCATAAAAGTATGTTGTCTCAGACATGAAGCTAAGCAAGTTGTAACTTGTCTCTAGGTTCTCTGGCCCTCCTTAGGCCCCTCCTCCCAATTGGACACCCTCCTACATCATGTGCAACATGCATTAGTCCCTCCCCCTCCCCCCCAGTTTCATCTGTACATTTTTATCTCCTCCCAGGAATACGGTTGTGGTTTACCTGAGGAACCACTGAGTAAATGTCCAGCTAATTTGGGCTCATCAAAGAATATTGCCGATCAGGCCTGGTGCCACTTTCATACTCATGGGTATAGAAGGAGGAGAGGCAGGTCAGGTTAAGTGCTTTGCCCCCTCATCTCTCTCCCCCCAGCCAGCCCAAGGCCATTTCTACACAAGACACGGCCTCCCGAGTCCTCCCATACACGTTCATTTTCACTGGCTGCCGAGAAAACAGACCGAGAAGCCACTTTGAAAAATATCCCCAAAATAGAACCAATCTGAGACCCGTCTTTGCTACTTCACGCAGATAAACCTCAGTGCGAGAATCTCTCCCCCCCCCTTTCCCTTCTCAAAGAAAAAAGGGCAAAGGATTTCAAAGACTGTAAGGTGATCCCTCCCAGCTTTTGGAAACCAAGTTTTGTAATTATTGATGCAGATTGGGACAAATACCCTTACTGAGTTTCCCTCAAGACTCCTGAATTGTAACGTCCATCAAAAGAATGTTTTTTGAATGAGAGAGTCACAGCACCATTTTCCTCTTTCTTAAAAAAAAAGTAAAACAAAACATCAAAAAAGGACCATTTACAAAATACGAGGATGAAATTTCACAAAACAAGAATGGCTTCAGCGTGGGCTTTTTTTTCACAAAAGAGGGAGTGAAATAAAATATGGGCAAGAAAAAAGTGCCCTTTCGGCTTTGGTTTTCACGGCAAAGGGCTACTGAGTCAGATTGAATATCATTTTAATTTGAAATGGCACTACTGTGGCTGGATCACTTTTCTTGCACAATTCACTCGCATCCATGTGTTATTTAGAGATCTTTCACTCAAAATGTGTTTACCAGGAAATTCAACATCAATTAAGCTAAACCAGGCAAAACTGCTTGTCAATTTTCAGAATTTTCAGGGTTTCCTCAAATTACATGGGGTAAATGAATGAACATGTACATAGTGAGAAGCCAACACTGAGTTTTTCAAACTTCATGCTGGGATTATCATAACAAAGGGGCCTCTACTGCAGAATTATTTTTGGCCTATTATTTTTCAATAAGACAGGATGCATAGGCCAAATTTTGAAATTAGATCATGCTACACTACATATACAATACTGCCTCACCAGAATCACTAGTTGTGCTAAAAAGGAGGCCTATATGTACTTCTTTGAAGCCCCACTGCAGAGTGATTATCACCTAATGGACTGCACACTGTGGCTACCGGCAAACCTCTGCAAAGTGCAGACCTGATAACGTTTAAAATGTATATAAGTACAAAACCAAGGAGTATTAATCATGACATGTCTTACACTGTCCGCCACCAGTGACTTCTGGAATGCTCAACAGCCCCTGCAAAAACATGTCTACCAGTACATGGCAGGTTCCTCAATATATGGACCATTAGATAATGTTCAACTTTGGGAGTTCATTTTTCCTGAAGTAAACAGCCGTGAATAAATTCCCAATGTCTGATGAATGAGGGAAGTAATGGCTGATATCTGGAACAATGATGACCGTGCCCATCTTTTTACTTAATCGGAGTGATTAATTAAAGTCTCGAATGTCAGCATTTTTGATGGACGTGAACAACCTGTTGAAATCCTAGCCAACAAACTTACTCAAGAGTGCTAATGCCCGCGGTCATTTTACACAGGTTTATATGTGGTAAAAGGTGATAATGTTTACATATATATTAAAACCATAATCACGAATTTAAAAAATACATGTACCTTTCACAAATAATCAAGACCCGAAGTTGGCAGTCGCGAACGTCATTTGATTCTGTTAAAAAAATTTGACTGCAAAAAACAGCAAGTAAAATCAAAATCAATGTACAACACAAGCTTTTAAAAAGTGCAAAAAAGAACCCCCATACCATCATCCTTTTACAACTGGACCGATCACTTTTTCTTCAAGTACATTTCCAAAAACCGCAGTCCAAAATACCGATCGTGGCAATTTTGCGGCTTCCGTCAATATTTCACAGTGACAGTAGAGAAACGTTTTGCTGCATCATGGGCTGTTTGACTTTGACATCAACCCAGATAGTGTCTCTTTTTCATTCGATATTCATGAGCCCCTCCACGGAATGGCGATGCTCCAGGATTTTTCTCTTCATACCAGGGTTTCTCACATGAAAATCTGTCGTACTGAATGACGTTTGCGAAAAAAGACGTCCGAGACATAAAATGATGAAAATCTAATGCTCTGAGTTGTTTATTTTGATTTATTTTTCAGAGGGGATATCTCCAAAATAAGCGGCAAAATGAACATCGCGCATGGAATTTTCAAGCAATACATGTGACAGGGTTTTCGGCATTCTCGAACGTCATGCATTTTTGTCGAAATTCTCGAACGTCATCAAAATTCTGTCAAACAAGACGTCTGCAACGAACATATTGTACTCATGATACATTTTTGATGCAGCTGAACTTAAAGATGTTTTTGGTGGTTGAAAGGTATAAGGCCTGGCAGATACACTGTATGCTGGTATAGTGAGAGTGATTATAAACGATAAGAGAATGAAGAGAGCCAAATCTTTCTTATCATTTTCCATCAATTTTGTACTTTTTTTTTCTGTGGCTTATATTTTTTTAAACTTATTTCTTAGGTGGTTTAAGATACATCAGTTGGAAATACTGAATTTTCCTTGTTGAGAGAACTTTTGAAATCAAATCCTTTGGTGAAAACACTTGGACGTAAAACTTTAAATGAATTCAACTCCATTTGATTTGCACTGGTAGCCAACCAAATGTCCACCATAAGTACATGTACATATTATGTCTAATTATCCCCAAATAATCATTTTTATAAATCTGAATTGCTAATTTTTTTTTCCACAAGATCAAAGTCACTCTTTTAGAAGTTTTGAAAAATGACAAGCGGAATTGAATTTTGGTCCATTTTGTGAAGAACATGTATGTACCTGTTGAACCATCACAGAAAGTTATTGCTAGGATGGGAACTGTTGGCTACAAACACCAAAGATACATGTATATCCTACCATTCATCTTAAAATTATCCTACATGTTGACTG